TTTAATAAATTTAATGATCTGTGGTGTAACGGTGAAAACTTCCATATTTACTTGATCGTCTTATTTAATAAATGTTATAAATAATTCATATTCTAACTACCATCATCTTTAATAAAATAAGAAATTGCATATGCCGATGAAAGTTGAAGAGAAAAAATTACCTAAAAAAAATCAGAAAATAAAAATAATTAATGAAAAAAAAAAATAACTTACCTACGCATTCAACTCGTCTAAAATAAGAGAAAAAAAAATAAATAATGAAATATGAATCGTCGCCTTTTTAATATTAACGGAAATAAAATATTTTCATGATAAATAGAGTAAATAAAACTTTACGTTAGTTAAATTGAATTTTTTTTTTTATAAATATTGGCGTAGCAATTTTTTACATATTCAAAAAAAAAAAATTTTACGCCAAATTGTGACGGCTGTATGTTTTGCAATTGAATATTTTTTTTTTGAGCCCCTATGTTGTCAAGACCCACCGTCAAATCTCTCAATATTGCTTGAAGCAAACAGAGTTTATTAAGAGATGATGAATGTTTACATAAGTTTTAATATATAATTAGTTGTAGGTGAATAATAATATTAGTGCTCAGTAAGGGTCGGGCCCGTCACAGCTAATTTCAAAGTCACGGGACGGACGATCATTTTGCAGATCGATAAAAATAACTCGATATAATAAAAACATAATTCTAAAATATACACTAAAATCAATATTTGAAAATTTGTAATAAAATAAAATAATAATTAAACAATTTATTACTAGCTTTAGATTCCTATTTTTGAGTTAGAGTATCATGCTCAGCTGCTTTATTTTCTTACTCTAGCTACGGCCACCTGTTAAATAAATGCAGATCAGAAAATTGTCACTAAATTAAGAAAAGATATCATAATTTTTTTAATAAACAGTCTAAAATCATTACCAGTTTTAGTCTTCTGCTTTTGGATCAGATTTATAGAAGATTTATTAATTGAATAATCTATACTACCACAATCACGCTTACAAGCATGATCACAACTATGACCATGATTATAATCATGACCTCTACCTTATCCTACACTATCTTTTCTATAACCCGTTAATTAAATTAATTAGTGAATAAAAAATTGTAACATATGGCAATTCATATACAATATAATACTTACTAATAACTTACGTTATATTTGTTGTATTTGGCGCAGTAGTTTTGGTGTCTTGTATTGTATTCAGCATAGTAATTTTCTGGTTCTTTCATATTTTTGTCATTTTAAATAAATTTGAAATATTTGAAAAAATATTTTATATAAATGAACATAAAATGGAAGTGGCACCTTTTATATAATTCATTTATTATGAGCTTAAATAAACTTTCTTATATAATGATAGTAACTAAAGCTTTATTTCATATTTATATACAATAATAGAGTATAACGAAAATTAACTTTGTTTGTTTTTATAAATAAATAGGCTTTATAAACTTAACAATTAAATTATGGCTTTGTCATATAATAATACTAAATATGGTTAAATACTGATTGATTAGAAACTTTTATATACATAGTTGATAAAGTATATAGAGAAATACTTTTCTTTTTTTCTTAAACTTCATTTTAAGTACAAAACTTTTATAGTAAATAAAAATAACAAACTTTATTATATTTGTATTTAAACTTTGTATATTACATTTTATAAATAAAAAACAAAAAATAAATTTTCACATTAATTTTAAATTTTGAAAAATTGGAAAATACGTAGAAGCTGTTTCTTACTAATTAAACCATTCTTTTTATATAAAAATACAAACTTTTCTAGGCGTAATATAACTAATATTCTTCAAAGACATAAAAGGCTTAGTTTGTTTAAGTAGTATATATATGTATATTATATGATAAGTCTGAACTTTGATATTATATCTCTTCTAATGTTTCTATAATTATTTTTGTAGATAATAAAAAAAGTGATAAAGCTACATTTCAATATAAAATGGAAAATAATGATAATAATAATGATAATAATTATGATGATAACTATAATGATGATAATTATGATAACAATAACTATAATTATAATAATTACAATGATGATAACCACAACAATAATAATTATGATGATGATAATTACGATAATGATAACTACAATGATGATAATTACGATAATAATAATTATAATGATGTTAACTATGATGATGATAATTATGATGATGATAACCACAATGATGATAATTATGATGACGATAATATTTATTATGATTATAATGATGATGATTATATTAATGAAGATGAAATAGAAGAAAATTATAATTGAAGAGAAGGTGATAATACTGTTGGTGATAATGATAATGTATTTAAATTTATTTATTTTTTGTTTTTGTTTTTTGCTGATCAATTAACAAACCCATCTATTTTTGCTGCTGGTATTACATTTTTAATAAAAATATTATTTCTAAATAAAGTATGATGATACAATAGTTGATTCATTAATAGATAGTGATCTTATATTAAATATAAATAGAAGTTTTATGTCTTACTTTAAAAATTCGACCTCTGCACTATTATTTTGCTGAATACAGAAACATAATATATGTAAATCTGATTTTTAATATAGTGAATGTATTTATCTTAAAATATATAAATTTTTACAATATTATGCATATATATAGTAATGAACATATATAATGACTTAATAGAAATATTACAAATTAAAGTTTGAAGTAAAAAACATTGTAAAGAATATAAGAAGGTTTTGGCAATGAAGAAATTAGTTATTATTGATGCTAATAAAAACACAATCTATTAGAATAAATCTAAAGAAAATACATCTACATCTAATCTAAAAGAACAAAACTTTGTTACTATTTATCAATTTGTGATATTATTCAGAATATATTAAATAATCTATCACTATATGGTAAGTTATATTTTAAATTGGATATAGAAGCTGAAAAAAAAAGAAATATTAGCACGGTTATCTCTAGGCTGTATCACCGTTGTTTGACCAAGATAAAATAATAATTAATGAAGGTATTTTTAGTTTATTGCTATTATAACAATCAATATATATGTGGTATAATTAATTAATTTATATTTTTTATACTTAGACATTTATCATTCAAATGAATTCATTATATATAAAGAAATAGTAATCAAAGAATTAAACAAATATGATTGATAATATCTATTAATAGTAAACTTCAAATAAAAATACAATAGATTTATATTTATAATGAACTACTAAACAATTTTCACTGCAATACTTAATTAATTACAAAAAAATTACAACTGTGGTTGATAGACCAGTATTTGAAAGAGGGTAATATCATCACAATTACTAATCAGATCATTAGAAAGGTTGATTTTACAATTATTTATGATTTAAATATTATTACTGACAGCCTTTATATTAAGGAAATTTTATATAAAAATAATAGTTGTTAGAAACTACAAAATGCAATACTGGACTATATGTATCTATGTGAATATTTTATTTTAAATTCACCACTAGTACAATATTAAATTTTTAAATTTTAAAGATATTTGTTGATATCTACTATGATAATTTTGGAACCTATTGAAACATCTATCATTCTTTGGGTAGAGTTTATGTTCAGCTAAGGAAACATGTCATTTAATATGAAAAAATATCTTTATAATCATTTTGTCTTAAGCTTTGTTCTTTTTAGTGGTTATTTTGAAGATTTTATTTATCCTTTTATTAAAAAAATGAAACAATTGGAAAAAGGAACATCAATGAATATCTAAGGAAAAGATTATTGGATAATAGCTAGTCTTGGATGTATCATAGCAGATTTACCTCAAGGAAATGATCTAGCAGGTGTAAAAAGTTATGGTGCAATAAAGGGATATAAGACATGTTTAGCTTCTAAAGAAAATATAACATATATTACAGTAGATGTTGCTATAATATTCTATTACCATCATATTACTAATATTTATTTTGAAAATATATTCACAACTTTAACACTAAAGTATCAAAGTGATATTATAAAAGAATATGGCTTGCGAACTAGTTTGCCAATTCTTGTAGCTTCAGCGAGAACATCATCTGCAATCACCACAGAATATTTATCATTTAATAGCTAGCAAACCATTAAAACTACTTAAGCTAATAATTGCTATACTATCTCCAGATGGCAAGTTAAATTTTATTCGTATTTAGAATCATTTGATTATCCCCATCATTGGTCAAACTTCTGAATCCTATTAGTCATATTAAAAGCTTTATAATGTTAGACTGTCTTTGACTGGAAATGGTGATACCAATTATATTAAACAGATTATTGATGATTAATTGTTTAAAGCTATAAGAAATAGAGACGAACAAAGTTGAATCACAATCAAGTGATTAATTCAATCATTAAGTGCTGGGCAACTGTAGCAAAATGCTCTTGGTTATCATCTAAAACTTTGTTAACAAATAATGACTATAATGATCTTGAAAAATATTTGAAAAAGGAACAAAAAGCATTAACTGAGGTAATGTTTATATGCATTTGTTGTATAATAGTGAGATTTCATTCTTTGATTTGCTAACTTTATTTATTTTAATAATGAAATATAGTTATCTGATGACTTTGTGAATCTTCCTAATCTTCATGCCATTGTCATTTATTATGACATGCAAGGACTTTTACAAGTACTAGAGTTGGAATGAAGAAGATGGTCCATTGTATCTTTAAAAATATGGTTTCACACACCAATTGTAAGAACATCGAACTGAATTTATTAAAATGTTATATGACTCTGCAATCTATTTGATATCTCGCAGATAGTGGAATTGATCCTCGAAATTTACAACCTAGTGTTGAATTCATAAACATATCTCAAGATTCTAATTATTTATTCAAAGGATGGTTTATTACGGGAAGTTCAGAGATTAATGACGAAGAATTAGGAGGTAGTAATTAATATATTCAATTCATTCTAAATAATTAAAAGTTACTACATGCTAACATTTTTTAATAGTAATCCGTTCACAATCTAGCCAATTTCGAAATATAATGCTAAGGAAGCCAGTATCAGTTCACAATACAAATATTGGAATTAATACAAGTTCATTTCGGACTGATTTGGCTCTTGCGTATGAAAGTTTTGGACATCATGCATCACTGATCAACAAAACTTGTAATTTTTACGAAAGTACATCTTACATCCGAGATATACAAAATGACAGAATCCAATGTCATTTGAACGTGAATGATGTAGTGACAATTCAAGTAGCTGATTATAGTGAAAGTTACGCAACCATCAAGGGTATTTTCAAGCACAAAAGTAACGATGAATATTTCTATTTATCAAACTGGATTGTCCAATCTTTGTCCTTCGAAGTGATGATTTTTATCGCTTAACGGTCATAGATAAAGTTCAGAAAGTACATTTTGTACATGATTGTAATGCAAGATGCAAGAATGTTCATAATTTGGAAAACAAGCGTTATTTGAAAAATGACTTCTTTTTTAAAGCCATTTAAACATGTAATGTAATATTTTTTTTATTTAATTTGTTTATTTCGTTGTTTGTGCTAATTTTATTTCATTTTTAGGATTGAATGATTAGTAGCATCTCTGGTTCTCCACGAGAGGACGTAACCGTCACATATGGTATATTTACATAGTATATTTTATTTTACATTATTACAGCCAAACACATATACATATATTATGAATTTATTATATGTTTAATGCAAAGAATATATGAATTTGCTACAAATTTACTATATGACAACTTTAAATTTATTATATGGTTATTTCAAGTTTATATTAAATTTGTTATATTACTACTTCAAATTTACTTTAAATCATTTATATGATTACTTTGAATTTTCAATATTAAATACATATCATTGCATTAAATTTAACATAAAGTAGCAATACGCCTACTATGATAAATGGCGGCTACATGGATACTACCTAGCTCAGATATCACGTGTTTCAGCAAAGTACGAAATATGAAATAAAAAAAAAAGTAAATAAAAAGAAAGCGAAATAAAGATAAAAATAAAAAAATAAAAAAATAAAACGAAAATAACGAAAATGAAAAAACGAAAAATAAAAAAATACGAATACGAAAAATAAAAAACGAAAACGAAAACAAAAAGTTAGAAACGAAAGCGAAAATTAACCAAAAAAAAAGAAAAAAAATACAAATGCGAAATAAAAAATAAAGAACGTATGAAAATAAAAAAGAAAAATAATAAAAAAAGAAGTTAAAAAACTAAACAAAAAACTAAATAAAAGCACAAAAAATGAAAATTAAAAAAAAAAAGATCGCAAGAAAAATTTAAAAAGAATAAAATTAAACGAAAAAATATAAATAAAAAAAAAAAATGATCGCTTAATTTAAAAAATTAAATTAAATAAAAAAGACCGGGGAGAGGAAAAAAAATATAAAATCAAAACAAACGAACTATTAAAATAAATCAATTTAAAATTAAATATTCGCTAATTAAACATTATTGGTTATTTTTACACATACTGCGGTAAGATCTACATACATACCTTGACAATATGTATTACTATTACATTCTGTTATCGTTATACAAGATAATTTGATTGAAATAAAAGTTTTTTTAAAAAAAACTTTTTTTTAATTATAAGTTATAACAATGTCTAATAGTAATTATAAAGGTAAGATTGTAATAAAAAAATTAATAATATTTTACTAAACAAGAAAAGGAAATATAAAATATGAAGCTTTGTATGATTAAAATGAATTAAATTAATTTAACGGTTTGATGATATTCTAAAATCTTTTTTTTTTCATAAATTTACATTAGAGCCAGTTTCGGATGCTAAAGGTAATATATGTAACACACTCTAATTCGTTAATTATGCTCATTTTTGTTTGCTAAAAATTAAATTATATCAAATTTAAATATAGAACCAGTTTCAGATACTCCTACATTAAAAGAATTAAATGGTAATAAACTTTATTTATCTATTATTTACTTATATAATTAATTATTAATTAATATTTTTTTTTTTAAAAAAAAAAAATTTAATGATTTTAATACCTAGATTGTAACTATTTAATTTTTATTATATTTTAATTTATATAATTTAAATTTAATTAAACTATTATTTAAAAAATATTTAATAATCA